AATTATCCCCCCAAAACCCCAAAACCCCATGGTGCTTTTAAATTCTTTATGAAATCAAAATTATAAAATCAAAGTTGAGAATTTTAGATGGATAATTAGTTTGATTTATTACCCCTTCTTAATCATTTGTTAATTTTAGGCTAATGAGTACATTCTTCTAATTCCTTAATTTCCCGCATCTTATCTTATTTTTCCTTAATCCTCATATATTTAGTCTTCAAGTTTTCCTAGATCTGCTTTACACATTCTTGCATATTATCTTTCTTAAGTTTAGGCTCAACATGCTAATACAACGCTATCATGCTAGACCTACTTGATTAGTGTTCCGACTTAACACCGTGCTAAGAGTAATTAGACTGACTCATTGAAGCCTCTTGGTTTTCTTTATTTTACTGCATAATTCTATATTACTACTATTTTTACTGAGCTTTTTGCTTGACTCTACGCTCGATTTCTTGCTTATCCTCCAGCTATTTCGCCTTCTCTGTGATCTAAGGATGAAAGCTGTACTTTGCCTATTATTTCAATTGTACTTACTTCACTTATCGTTTCTGATTATCTTACTCTAGCCTTTCGTTAAATGATGTTAGCGAATTTTATTTAGATTTCATTAGACTTGGCCTCTGATTGTTCTAATTAAAAGTTGCAGATGACTTGGCTTAGAGTACTTACTGCTATTATTATTGCTTAGCTTGCTTTTACTGGAGTAGAGCCTTTTATCTTTAATCAAAATTCATTTCACTCATAAACTTTTAGCCCTAATGATCTTGATTGCTAATATTTACGTTGATTTTAGAAACTTATTGTGAGTCTCTAGATTCTCTAGATTAGGGTTTGATAGAGTTTTTCATGATAAACCCTGCTTTTTTGACAGTAGTTCTTCTTTTACAATATTCAGTATATTCTTCTGCAGTTTAATGAATCTTTCCCTAGGAGAAGCTCTCTCGATTATGTCTAATATTGTTGTTAATTGATCCTTCTCAGTAAGAATTTTAAGATGAATTAATCTAGTGATTATAATTGCTATAATTCAGACTCTAACTATTACTATGCTATTGGCTATTTAGAATTTGCGAATTTTAGTAATTTGAATTTTTTCTATTATCGATGGAATTTTTATATACCTGAAAGCTACTTTTACTATTCATATACTTGTTATCGTTGTAATTAATGTTTTGAATTTGTAATGAGGACCTATGGTTATTAGAAGCTTAAAGTGTTTAGATATCTCTTTCTTGAGATTCAGTCTAAAAGGTTTTAAGATTTTAACTTTGATTATTTGTTTAACCTAGGTAGTTTGGATATTTGATTGGGGTTGAGTCTTATTATTCAAGTTCATTATCTTATCTTAGTGAGTTTTAGGCTGTAGATCTGATAGGTAAAAGTAGCCAAAAAGTTTTTAATTCAGAGAAACTTAGATTTTTACTTTAGTCTACTACTGTCTTGAATGACTCTTTGCTGCTCTTATCATTCTGTTAGATTTGATTCTTAAAAGTATTTCCCTAATTACTTGAGCTGTTCATAAGGATATTTAATACTTTATTGCTTGAGTCAGTATTTTTATTAGTTGAAGAATTTCTGACATATTTTTGAAGCTCATTAGCTGGGGAAGTAAGTCTTTCTACTACATCCCTATTCAAGTACCTATTCAACTCCTATGAAATATGCTGAGGTTTAATCTCATTTACTGTTGGTTTATGAGAGATTGTATCTTCTTTACAATCATTTGTACAGTGTGCTGGGTAATAACTATCGAATGACTCGGTTTATTGCATTTTTAAGATTCTGTTTTACATAATTATTGAACTATTCTCACAAATTTAAGGTTTAAATGTGCAATTCTCTTAAAACTACATCTATTCTCTATACTCCTGAATGGCTTTTAGATTTTACTATCTTAAAATTTTTAATCTTGCTATTTTATCTGCTTTAGACTCAATTTTCTCATTGTTTTAAGCCATTTTCAATGAATTAGGACATAGTTGTGGCTTGAAGGTGCATTGTTTAAGTTCCTCCTCCTCTCTTTATGTGATTGAAAAACTTAAGCTATCTCTATCCCTGTCTCTCATATCTTATTACTATTGATTCTAGTTCCTAATGGACTATCTGTATGAAACTTAGGCACTAGCAGATTTCTAACTCTATTAACTTTAAAACTACTATTTTTAAATGCTCTGCCTTTAAGATAATTAGCGCTCGAGAGAATTTTACTAAGTAGGTTTGATTAAGAGACTGTTAGGCTTCTCTTAATGTATAGGTGATATTACTTACAATTGCAAATTAGGTGTTTCTGAGGTATTAGTTATTTTTATGTCTAGGTTCTGAATGAATGAACTCTTTGGCTTATTTACAACGCTAACATAGGGATAGTCTATTTCATCAGAGAATACACTAATCGATTCTTATCTATGAATCATTTTGCTTTCCATAATTTATGGCGAATCAACTTAGGACAAAATATGCTAGGTAGAAGTACTTTTTAAAGATTGGTCTGAGTAAACTCTATTCCTTTCATCAATTCGCTCTAGACTTTTAACATTACTTAGATTATTAATGGAAGTTCTTTGCTTCAAAGAGCTGATGTTAAGATGCTAGCTTGAGTAGGGATTAAAACCACTAGAAAACCCCATGCCTCCACCGCAACTATTTCCAGTTGAATTCCCACCATTAAGTTAAGAGGCTGTTAAAGTTGACTCTTTGATTTAGGATATTCGGTATGAAGAATCATTTATTGGATTAATATCAGATACATCAAGCTCCTCCATTCGGTTAAGGAGATTTTTAGGGTCTAGAGTTCCACTTCTCAAAGCACTAACGAGATCTTCTATTTAATTCATATTTTGAATTCTTATCTGTTATTAATTATTTTAATTTTTCTCGATTATCCAATATTATTTGGCATTTTGGGGTTTTGGGGTTTTGGGG